CTATTCTATTCTATTCTATTCCATTCCATTCCATTCCATTCCATTCCATTCCATTCTCTTTCCACATTTCCAATTTTGGGCAAAGGCGAGTTTTTTGTTTTTCAATTAGCTTCTGTAACTTTGCCCATGCTACTAACTCCAGAATTTCTGATAGAAGACAAGATCAGAGGGTAGAATCTCTTTTGTGGGAGATTCAGACTTGAAATAAGGGCAAACATCTTAACTGGGAGTGGTTACTAAGCGTTGAATAGCCTGCTTCCTTAACTTGTGGGCATTTCATTATTGGAAATTTTCAAGAAAAATAATAATTGAAGAATCATTTGTCCAAGATGATGTGAAAATCCCTCTGCAGAGGCCTGGACCAAAAGACCTCCTCCTAACATAATGATCCCATGGTTTTAAATCAGAGATTTCCAAACTTGGCAATTGTAAGACTGGACTTCAACTCCCAGAATACCTCAGCCAGCCATGCTGGTTGAGGAATTCTGGGACCTGAAGTCCACCAGTTTGGAGGTCCCACTTCTAAATTGTGGCAATCTAACATATAATGTACATTGAACTGCATAATGTCATTTTCTCCCAAATTTTTTACAAGGGGGAAAAGAATCTAATTTTTCCTTTATCTTGTATGGATGGCTGAAAATGGGAATACATTCTGGCTCTTTAATAGTTTTCTCAGGCCAGAATTCAAGTTGTATCTTCAGTTATGATGGATGGATTGCGGAGAGAACTTGTATTCCCAAATGGCCAACTGTTTATGAACAAAAATGCATCTTCCTCTCTTTTCCAAAACTGAAACTTTGGTTTAGTAGATCATTTTATATGTCAACCTCTGTACCTGTATTGCATTGCAGGTTGAACTTTTTTGCACTACAGAACCTTTTTTGCACTATCTTCATATGTCTACTAGCTTTTTTGTTTGACAAATGAAATACTTTTTTTAAAAGTAGTTCCATCTGTGAAATTTAGGATAAATATTGCAGAGGGAATAAATTCAGTCTTAGGGAATAAATTCTGAGCTGTTGTGCTGTCTGTGATTTCTTCTTTGGACTTTATATTATCACATGAAAGGATGAGTTGGTAGGACAATTCCTGTTGCGTGTATCCAGGACATTACTACAGCTTCTTGTTGAAAAGGTCAAACAATATTTCAAAATTTTATAAACAGTATCAGTAATAGCAATAGCAACAGCACTTAGATTTATATACCGCTTCATAGTCCTTTTACAGCCCTCTTTAAGTGGTTTACAGAGTCAGCCTATTGGCCCCAACAATATGTATCCGGTTATGAGAATGGAATCCGACACAATATTAATAGCCATTGTTAGCTCATAGTATTTTCTTTCTCTTTTAGATCTACCAACCTTTACTTAAAAGATACCTGGAACTTGAGCAGAAGGTGCTGAATAAATCAAAATAGTATCTTCGAAGAGAATCTATCAGTAATGATTTAAATGAAGAGCATATTGGAGAGTGAAAGAAACTGGACCCATAGTTGTGTGGAACATTCCTTGGTTTTGTAATTGAAACTATTGTGGAATAAATGCTACCCTTGTTCTGTTCATCGCTGTCTACACAAGTGGTTCTTCAATATCCAGGAATACCTCTAGTAGCACTTCCAAACAAGGATTTTGCAATTTCAAATTAGCTTTGGATTTACCTGATCAGATAATGTTTGCTCTTTTTAAGAGCTGATTTAGCTTCTTCAGTGAGATGATTATATGCACAGAGATGGAAAGGTTCAACATTAGCCACTATGGTTGGTGAAGTTGTCAAATTTTGCTGAAATGGACAAATCAACCTCTTTGATTAGAGAAACCTAGCTACGTTTATTGGTGATTGGAAGCCTACTTTTTGTGTAGAAATGAAAAACAAACAAACGGTAGGGAGCAGAATAATATTATGTAACTTTAGACAGAGAGGTTATACTGTCTGTGAAGAATATTGAAAGCCATTTTTTGGGTATAATCTATCCATAGAAGCAGACTCCATTTTTGACATTGTACCTACTAATTTCTGGCCCTATTTTTCGAAAATCTCCTGGAATATTTCCAATATGATAACATTTTATGTTATTTTATAAATCTTCACTTTTACAAGTTACACTTTTTAAAAATATTTTCCAAATTTTTCTGCCTGGATTCTTTAGTTCCCCTCTAGTGTTGAACTTCTGAAATCATAAAGCCTCTAATCTCTGTTAAGCTTAAGATCAATAATCAATTTGGTTCTTCCAAAAAAAACTGTTTATTTTACATAATTATTTTCAAAACATACAGTAAAAAATCTTAGTAGTCCAAATTTGTCTGGACCCTTAATTTGTTTATAACTTCCAGGGATCAAAGTCCTATTTAATTTTATTATGATTATTTCCATTCTTTAGATTCTTAAATTTATGGTTAATTTTTTTTGTTCAAGAATGAAATTAAACTCACCACATGGCTTTTCAAACTGGTCTTTATGAAGATCTTTAATATGATTAAACATGTAATTTCCAAAAGTGATTACAAAGTGAGCTTAGCAAACCCAATGTTCTTTAAAGGGCTCTGCTACATTTGTGAGCAAGGTAGCTGACCCCTTTGCCTCCCAGTGTCCTACTGTCCTAAAGTCTCTTCACAAGGAAGAACCATCTGGGGCGTATATCGGCCTGCTTGCAGGTTCGTTTGTCTCTGCCATGGTTGTCATCTCCATTCCCATGCAGATGTTCTTAGTTCATCATGCTTCCTCTAGAAATGAAGTATGAATTATCAATTTTGGACACATTACGCAAAGACCTAATTTTATAGACCAACCAGGCCGGAGACAGATTCTCTTGGAGAAGACCTATCTAGACTCACCTTGTGGGGAGATGGATGGCATAAAAATTTAATAAACAAACAAACAAAATCTATGTGGTTATAAGAGTTGACAGTGACTAGATGGCACAAATCAATTCGTGTAAACACTTGACTCCTTGAGATGTCCATAATGCTGGGAATGATGGGAGAAAGGAAGAGAAGGACTGGCAGCAAGAGGGATGGATTCAGTAAAAGTGATAATGGACACACTTGTTTGAAAATCTGAAGGATCAGAATAGGAACAGATCATCGTGGAGAAAATCTATTTACGTGGTCATAAAAAGTTGACACCATCTTAATGCCACATAATCAAACTACTGGCCAACCAGAATGTGTTCTGATTGTCTGAGAATGTGCTTTGTGTTTCAAGGCCAGAGAACTTCACCTCACTTAGTTTCAAGAGTTTTGAAGAGCTGTACAAGTGGTATGGAAATAATAAACTTCTTTTGACCATTGAGTAGTTGAAAATAACTCATGATTTATCCATCTTGGCAATTTCCACAGACTCAGGAAATGGAACGCTAAAAAAAAAAATTAGTTAGGAAGTTTGGAGTTGAAGTCTTAAAACAACTAGAGATTAACATATTGAGAGAAGCAAAATAACCCATCAAATACCACAATGGATCTTGTTGGATCTGTTAGAGGCTTGGTGATTTTCTTTTATAGTCCTTGTTGGCAAAAAAGTTCATTGAGATCTCTCCTGATAACTCACGATTTCTACTTCCTGCAGTTTATCTCCTTTTTCACCCACATTGAAAATCCTTCATGTTGATCATCTTGATGTGCTTGTCAAGGTTTAGTTTTTTTAAAAAAAGACCTGTGCCAAATGCACTGCTGAAATGCATTCACCTTATTATGGGAATTGTTTATTTGATCCCATTTCTGTAAATTTAAGATTTTTGAAATTCAGACACACATCCTTCCATCTTCTTAGAAGCGCAGGAGAAAAGGAACGTCTGTTCAGCTAATGTAAATTTGGATTGAAAATGCACCACCACGTGGGAATTTAGCAGATCTTTCAGGGATTATTACAGTGATGGACTAAAAATACATTGTAGAACAATGTGATTTCCTGTCTGTATTTTGTTCTGTGACCCAATTTTAAATGAGTCACAGTTCAAGAACCTTCATACTGCCAATACAGAATAAGCATAAACTTAAATTCCATTGTTCATTCAGAATGACAGAGTCGGAAGAGACCTTGGAGGTCCTCTAGTCCAACCCCCTGCTCAGGCAGGAGACCTTATACCATTTCAGACAAATGCTTCTCCTATCTCTTCTCAAAAACCTCAAACATTGGAGTACCCACAACTTCTGAAGGCAAGATGTTCCACTGATTAATTGTTCCAACTGTCAGGACATTCTTCCTTAGTTCTAGGTTGCTTTTCTACTTGATGAATTTTCATCCATTGTTTCTTGTCCTGCCTTCAGATGCTTTTGAGAATAGTTTGTCTCCCTCTTCTTTGTGGCAGCCCCTCAAATACTGGAGCACTGCTATCAGGTCACCCCCTAGTCATTCTTTTCATTAAACTAGATATAAACTAGATACTAGACATTCTTTGGGGCCCAGCTAATTATGTCTGCTAGAACTACCTATGGTTGTGAAAGTTGGACCTTAAGAAAGCAAGACAGGAAGAAAATATATTTGCTTCAGCTGGAGAAAGCTCTTGTATATTCCTTGGACAGTGTTAGGAATATAAGTCACCTAACAGGTATTTGGGTTAGAAATATATAAACCAGGATAGACATTTTAATACTGTCTCTTTAAGAGCATGCTAAAAACTGCAATTAGGTGTGGTTTCTCAAACGGCCATAAGATGGAGCCAGAAACCTGGTTTGTCTTAGTCTTAGTCTCAGAAGAGAGTGTGTCTGAGTGATTATCTCTGTTTCCTTCTGTTGGAAAGTATTGCCGTTGCTCCATTTCTTCTAATTGACTGATATTACTGGATTTAATGTAAGTCTGATACTGAACTGTTTTTGACACTGGAATTTGATATTTGGATTATCCCTGGATGAAAACTGACTGATTTTACCTGTGAATGACTTTTGGATTGCTTATTTTGGACTTTACTTAAACCTTTCTGGAAGTAAAAACCTACATTTACTGTACAGTGTATCTGTGTGCTCTGTGTGTATTATTCAAACACTTCTCTCAAATACGTCTCCCTGTATGCGCTCATTCTCCTAACGGGGAATTACCTCAACAGACAACCAATGTGACCACAAGCAAGTACTGGAGCGCATAACACCAAACGTGGAAAGCAAAAATCACAAAACTGATCGATCTCTTTGGCCGTGTCATGCTGGGGAATTCACTGGACAAAGCAATTATGTTTGGAAGAGCTAGTGGTAAAAAGTAACCAGGCCTCCCAAGAACATTGTGGCTGGACGCCAGCCAGAGCATAGAAAAACTCAAGGAAGTAATGCAAGATCAGAAAATGTGGAGAGACTTGGTCCATAGAGTCGTCAAGAGTCAGACACGACTGAATGGATAATATCATCAGAGCTAGAATTGTAGGAAGTCAATCCTCCAGGTGAGAACAGAAACAAGGTCAACTTCAAATTATCAGCTTATCTCTTAGAATCTGTTTGGTTCTAAGCCAGCCCTAACAAAATTTAGGCTTCCTCAAATCCATAAACCCCAGAACGAAACAAGTGTTAAGAAAAGTAGATGAAATTTGAGGATTGATATTTATCGATCAAACAAGAATTGCTGACTGCTTTGCAAACATATACAGGTAATCCTTGATTTACGATCATAATGGAGCCAGAAATTACAGTTGTTAAGACGTGAACGATCGTTGCAGGTCACTGCATGACTGCCTCTGATTGGCCTTCTTTTTCAGCAATTGTTAAGTGAATTCTGCAATCCTTAAAGCAACCCATTTTCCTCAATGGGCATTTTTGCCTAAAATTGGGAGCAAATGCAGAAATCTGGCAAAAAAAAAAGTGCCAAAAACTGTGGTCACTTGACTGTGGGATGCTGCAAACTACCTTAAGCGTGAGCAGGTTGCCAAGTGCCCAAAACAGGATGATATCTGTCGCTCCAAGGAGATCTGGTATAATTCTGAGGAGGAGATCCATTGTAACTTTGAACAGTTGCTAAGCAACTCAATATTAAGCACCAACTATCTATAATGGTAAAAATGGTAAAGACCCTTCTTATCATATACATCTGGTGACTTCATGAACACACCTAAGTAGTTTCTTTTTTTTTAATAGCAACAATGTAGAAAAATATTCCAGGAATTTTCTTTGGAATTAAAAAAAAAAACTACACAGTCTAGCCTACAATTCTGGTATCTCCTAGTGGTGTCCCATCTTAATACTAATCCTGCCCAAAGAGGTGCTGATTCAGTTCTACAGAGGAATCATTGAGTCTGTCATCTGCACCTCTATAACTGTCTGGTTTGGTTCTGCAACCCAACAGGACAGACACAGACTCCAGAGAGTAATTAGGACTGCAGAAAAAAAATATGCTACCAACCTACCTTCAATCTAGAACCTGTATACTGCACGAGTCAAAAAGAGGGCTGTGAAAATATTTACAGACCCCTCACATCCCGGACATAAACTGTTTCAACCCCTTCCCTCAAAACGACGCTATAGAGCACTGCACACCAGAACAACTAGACATAAGGACAGTTTTCCCCCGAAAGCCATCATTCTGCTAAACAAATAATTCCCTCAACACTGTTCAACTATTTACAAAGTCTGCACTACTATTACT